TAGTAGTAGTAGTAGTAGTAGTAGTAGTAGTAGTAGTTTATTGTTTATAATTATTTACTTTAATGTGTCTTTCACAGACCTGAGGTGTAGTTTTTTGCTTTATTTTTAAAGCCAGTCTGTAGGAAAGTGTTCTTCGTTCGTTGATCCCAACCGAAGGGATAAGGATTATTTCGCTAGGAGATCGACCTGCTCCTTTCAATGGGTGCTTATATGGCTTGGTAGCTATGCGAACACAATACTTTTTTACCGGTTTCAGTTAAAGAGTGTATCCTCAGTTTCAACGTATCTACTTTTGGATGTAGGATTGTGGAATTTGTGAGTGAGGTGATGGAAGGTAAGGAATCACACAGAATAAGTAAAGATGTTTAGGGGGAATTTTGAACGGAGTCCAATGTCATGTCAATGGCAGAGGCTCCCGCAGAGAAAATGGAGACTTCGGGTTGAAGTCTCCTCTGGTGTATATTGTTTGTGCACAGGGCAGCGGCGCTCACAGCTGAGTCCGATTTAGAGCCATCAGTGAAGATTAGCTCCGCCCCGGAGTATTTTTTTTAAATAGTTTTTTTAGACGGCTAAAAAATAAATGGTATTCTGGTGTTTGTGCTTGCTTTGTTGTGTGTGGGGAGTTCCAGGTCTACTTTTGCCTTTGGAGAGGAGCCACGGAGGGAAGTCGGGGAAAAGAAGTTGTTCAATGTCTTTTTGTGTGAGTGTTAAAGTCTTCAGGGACTCTGAGGTTTGATGAGTTTGTCGTTGGTTTTTAATTTGTTTATTGTGTCTGCAGGTGTTCTAAAAATGCAGTCGTGTGCTGGGTTTTTTGTGTGTTTAACTGTTTAATTGCGTACTGTGGTGAGAACTGTGTTTGTTTCGATGTCAGTGATGGTATGTTTTCCTCTGCCTGGAGGCTCTCCTTCGGAGAAGTGCGGAAAGCCTACAGACCTAGGCGGAGTCCTTGGTTGTGTACCGGGTCTAGCATTTTTAGGATGAGGAGTCTTGCCGAACCATAGACTAGACAGCCGTAGTCAAGCCTGGATCGGACAACGGAACATTAAAGGTGGAGAAGTGTTTTGAGTCCCGACCCACTCCGGAAGCGATATAAATTTTACAGCGTTTAAGGCTTTCTGGCACCTCCCACGGAGGTCTTTTATGTGTGGAATGAAAGTAAGTTGGAGGGGGGGGGGTCGAATATCATCCCGAGGAAATCCTTTCCCCGTATGGTTTAAAATCCGGCTGCAGCTCACGTCTGCCTGATCGGCCGCAGTGTAGTGCAACCATCTTTGACGCGGAAAACTTAGACCATTATTATTTGCCCACTTTTTAAGCTTGTGCAGCAAAGTTTGCAGTTACCTTTCCATAGATCTTAGTTGGGGATTTTTTGGAACGGCAGCATATCAGAAAGTCGTCTACGTATAATGAGCTGTCTGTGTTGTTTTGGAGGGTTGAACGATGGAATTGATTTTATTTTGAAGAGGAAAGGGGAAAGGATGCTTCCCGGGGGAACATTTTCCTACTGTTGGTCGGGATCTGAAAGATAGGATCCGACACGAACCTTGAAGGAATTGTTCTTCAAAAAATTGCCAGTGAAGGCAGGGAGATGACCGCGTAGGCCGAGAGCATGCAGGTCTCTAAGAATACCATACTTCCAGGGCGTGTCGAAAGCTTTATCTAGATGTGTGGGGGGAGACGGCGATAATATGATCTACTTCGACAAAAGTCTCGCGTATAAAAGTCTCCGGGCGGACCAGGTGATCCAGAGTGGATTGAGTTTTCCTGAAACCGCACTGGAGACTGCTCGGCAAGCCCGTCGTTTCCAGAAACTACACGAGTCGTCTGTTGATTTTTTTTCTATTATTCTATTAGCTTGCGTAGATAGCTCGTAAGGGCGATTGGTCTGTAGTTAGATGTGTGTGTGTGTGTGTGTGTGTGTGTG